ACATGTCACTTTTCGACGTAACCTACGCTCTCTCTCACCCTCCCGGCTATCTGCTATGGTTTCGTCTTTGCTTCCATCCCCTGAACAGAAATCATCTCTTGATGTTAACCGTGCTTCCTTATACTTTCTGCTCCATTCTTACGTCTTGTTTAGACACTGTCTGCCCCTTGTCTTCCAGGCCAGCTCGTACCACCTCTTCTGCCCCTTGGCTATCTGATGTTCTCCGTGAGTATCGTTCTAAGCTCAGAACTGCAGAAAGAGTATGGCGTAAATCACAAAATCCTACTGACCTTAATGTATATCGATCACTCCTCTCTTCATTCTCTGCTAATGCCTCCACTGCTAAAAGGACATACTATCACAACAAAATTAACTTGTCATTTGCACTTATATATTTTTGCTCTTTTGTTAGTTTTGACTGCTTTTATTGTCCTCATTTGTAAGTCGCTTTGGATAAAAGTGTCTGCTAAATGACTAAATAAATAAAATAAATAAATAAAATAACCTTAATTGACCATTACAGACCTTAACCATTACAGTGACCTACAATTACAATAAAATCACATTAACGTGATTTTATTCATGTGTTAGCGCAAACCACTGACATTTTAATTTACTATAATCTCTGGTGCACAAATACATAACTTACAAGACATACCAACTCAGGAATGTGCACCTGAAGGTGTGACATCTACAGTGAACAGCCAATCACACAAAACACAGTTCAACACTATAAAACATTTCACTTTCTTGAGGGAAAAAAAGAAAAAAAAGAGTAGAACAGAGTTTGCTCAAACTAAACTCAGTTAACCTGTGTAGCCTCCGAAATTGGTTTTGAGCAGCAGGCCTCTGTACACATAAACATTTAACATAGGCAATGTCCACACACACATAAATTGACTATATTAAAAGCTACAGTTTACAGTAACATTTATTTATCTCCAGCTTAATTAAATAGTTATGGGATTAATTTGATCTGATTATTATCTTATATAATTAATTAATATGTATCACTTGCTTTTTATGAGCAACACTAAGAAAAACAAAATTAATTGGCTGAAAGAAGCATCTATCTCTTTTGTTAAATGTAAAAATGTAGTGAAGTAAAAAGAATGTTAATAACCATTCAAATAATTAAAATCTAATAAACATTCACTTAACCCTTTTACCTGAGTTTCTTCAGTGTGCAGTTTGTATTTTCTAATCCGTTCTGGAGTTTCTTCACTCCTGAATCCTGCAGATTATTGTTGCTCATGTCAAGATCTTTCAGACTGGAGTTTGATCTCAGGACTGTAGCGAGAGCTGAACAGCTTTCCTCTCTTAGACCACACTTACGCAGACTAAAATATTGAACACAAGAGATAACATTCATAAACAAAGTACTTAATGCTTATATTAGGTATAAACCAATGCATGGTTCATCTGATTGCTTACGATATTTGAAAATTTACAATGAAAAAATTGGTCTGAAACTAATGTTTATTTTGGAAAATGATTAATTTGTTGATTATTTTGATATACTGTGTTTCATAAATTATAAACATGAGAAATTATTTAATGTTCTACGCTAAAATATGTTTACACAGTGAAAGCCATGCCAACATTGAAATACAATATTTAATTTTTTTTATTTTTCATGATAATTAACCTAATCAATTGAACATTCATTAATCCAATTTAAATCTAGCATGCAGAAATATAGTCTAATATGCAGAATTGTAGATAAATAAAATGACACACTTTAGTTTCTCTAATCTGAATTGTGTATTTTCCAACAGATGACAGATCTTCTTCATTCCTGAGTTTTCTAGTTTATTTCCACTCAGATCCAGCTCTATCAGGTTTGAAGGATTTGAATTAAATGCTGAAGTCAGAGCAGCACAACCTTCTGCTGTAATGCTGTTATTATTCAGCCTGCAGAGAAAGAAAACAAAGACAGGAAACAGTATTCAATTTAGTTCAAAACCTTCTCTACTGAACAACAATGATAGTTTTAGCCCAAACCAGTTAAAGGGTCATATGATGCTGCTAAAAAAGAACATTATTTAGTGTATTTGGTGTAATGAAGTGTGTTTATGCCGTTTAAGGTAAAAAACAACAACATTATTTTCCACATACTGTACATTATTGTTTCTTCTCTATGCCCCGCCTTTCTGAAACACGCCGATTTTTACAAAGCTCATCGTTCTGAAAAGCGAGGTGTGCTCTGATTGGCCAGCTATCCAGTGCGTTGTGATTGGCCGAATTCCTCAAGCGTGTGACGGAAATGTTACGCCCCTTACCATACTGTGATGCCGTGTCCCGGTGCGATGAGACAAAACCAATAAAACCCTTTACAAACGAGGTATTTGTTGCATCCAGTGGGGACATAATTAGGGATTATAATGACTTATACTGTCTTTTTACGCGTTGTGTCGCGTATTGCGCCGTGTAAACATAAAACCATGTCTGCATTTGTGATCGGAGAAATGACAAACAAGCGCTACTCTACACTGCTCAAAACACGTGTTTGAATCATCAGTGGCAAATCCTTTAAATATGTAAACGTACTTGCAGGCTGTGAGTCAGTATTATTTGTCAGAACACCGGCATTGTAGGCTACTCTCCCAGGATCAGAAACAGTCCTCCGTAAAATGCGTTGCACACATCTGAATATTTGGGTTGAACTGTTCTGGAACAGTGTTGTAAATACATTTCGCTTTCACAACGAAACACACAGCGTCTCCACAACATGGCGAGAATAAAAGTTACGGCCTTCTTTCTTTGCGTGAACATTTGGGCGGTGTTATGTAAATCTTCCCACACAGTGAAGTAGACATGTGGGGGCGTGTTAAAACGAGCCGTTTTAGGAGGGCGTGGATGAGTTTTAACTTTTATAAAGAATATCTCTTTGGGTTTGAGACTTTAGT